GAAAGGTGTCAGTCACAAGGATGTCTGCTCTTGACCGCCAAACACCTCTTCCCACTTTCATATTCGATTCATCTAGTGTGGAAGAAGGAGGTTGGGCCATGACTTTCACTCACCAGTGTATTACCGATATTGCAGTGTGCAACCGCTTTATACGAGCCCGTTCGACTGTGGTGACACAAGAATGAGCAGTGTGTATGTCACATAACTGCTTATATACGCTCAGACGATCTATAGCTCGCAAAATGGAAGATACGGCATGAGATCAGCGGTAATGGATAACTGTTCATTCTTGCTGTTCATTTTGGGATCACGTGTAAGAATGAAAGACGCTTCCAAAGCCTTTCGCGCAGCTATTTGACTTTCATAGGCTAGTATTGTGCACCTTATATCGTAATCCGTTCCTTCGTGCTCTACCTTTCTGTGTTTACCTAGTGGGCTCATCATGCTCTATTTCCTTTTGCCAGTTAGATGTTCATTCAAACGTACGCCCAATGGTCGGCCGGTCTCACCAATGTAATTGGCGGAACATTTCAAACAATGGATTTCGTAAACGACACCACATTTTGTGCAGTCTCCGATTTTTCCGTATGGGCAGATCGCGCAATCTCGTAAGTTACAAGCTTTGTCGTATAGTCTATTGCGGACTAGTTGTTTCTTTATGTTGTCGCGAGGAATATTTACTAGAATAACGTCATCCTCGAGATTCGCTTGTATCAGGCATCGCTTGATCGCCATAGTGACTTTTTCAGAGATAAAGGGCAGGCATAAAGGTACCTTGTTGGTGACCTGATCTTTTAGTTGCTGTTGCCTTTTTGTTTCGTCTGGGTCGTGTTGTATAACCATTGGATAACATTATATCGGCCGCCAGTTTTAGTGATTCATGCTTCTCAATCTCACCAGTACTGCTCTTCGCTGCCGTTTTCAACATATTGCGAATTACGGCACGTTTAACGGCTAGTGGGTGAGCGGATTGAGCGTGCAAGATTATGTTTTTGCTACTTTCTTTGCGGTACCATTTGGTGCATACTGAGCCATCTACAAACGTCATCTGCATGTTCAAGTAGGCCAACCAACCGTTTCGAGGCTTCTCTCTTGTTAAACTTATGTACTTAGACTGTTGATTGAGTATTTTAAAACACTCGTCCATCTCGGACTGTGTTGTCGTGACAATGTACGTTGTATATGGGCGTACGTTTGAATGAACATCTAACTGGCAAAAGAAAACAGAGCATGATGAGCCCACTAGGTAAACACAGAAAGGTAGAGCACGAAGGAACGGATTACGATATAAGGTGCACAATACTAGCCTATGAAAGTCAAATAGCTGCGCGAAAGGCTTTGGAAGCGTCTTTCATTCTTACACGTGATCCCAAAATGAACAGCAAGAATGAACAGTTATCCATTACCGCTGATCTCATGCCGTATCTTCCATTTTGCGAGCTATAGATCGTCTGAGCGTATATAAGCATTTATGTGACATACACACGGCTCATTCTTGTGTCACCACAGTCGAACGGGCTCGTATAAAGCGGTTGCACACTGCAATATCGGTAATACACTGGTGAGTGAAAGTCATGGCCCAACCTCCTTCTTCCACACTAGATGAATCGAATATGAAAGTGGGAAGAGGTGTTTGGCGGTCAAGAGCAGACATCCTTGTGACTGACACCTTTCAGGCCTCTGATGACGGCGTGTAGCCGAAACGTAAGGCAATAAAGTGTATTACTATAAAAAACCTGTACGGCACAGAATAAATACTGAAGGATATGACGAATGTTTTTATATATTAGGTTGTTGCAAAAATAATGCCCGTTTAGGCCACTTTTCGAACAACTTTTTTCCTTTGAAATTTCCTTTCCTATATAGATTCTGCATATTGCTGGGAATTTCACCAACATCTCGCACAACTGCACTCAGAATTAAAATTTCGATGCTTGAATTGCCATAAAACAATTCAGGCGCAAATGAACGAATCCTTTTGAAAACATAGCTACTGCATTGGTTGAACATTGTTTATGTATAGCATGTTTGAGTAAATTCGAAAGTGAAATTTTTCGAAAGTGTCTGGACCGAGAAATCGACGCCGCGAAACAGACACTCGCTGCTGGCATTCTATGGGTCCAAAGTTTCTCATAATTTGGGGAATCGCCAAAGCTTCGCTCATTTCTGTACGCTTGAGGTCAGGACATCTTGCTTACAATTTTTGCAGATTAACTTAGCTATTCAGTTTATAAAAAAACAAAATTTCTGTATATGCCGTGTTATGCCAAACCAGGTTTTTGGTGGATCTTTATTGGACCTGACGGTTTCGACAGTCTCGTCTTCTTCAGAGGTCTGAACGAAGATCATAGGTTTTTTCGAATCTGAGCTTATACCGCCAAGAGCCTCCTCTCTCATCGCGCCAGTCTAGACCTACTCATAGGCTAGCAGCGTGAGATCATCGAGGTTTGGAAACGAGCCGACCTTGGATCCACCGCATTTCAGTAAGTCCGCACAGATAGTCAGTCACGGACGTCACTGAGTGTCACCCAGCTTGTCAAAGCTTTTATGTGCGGTTGTGAGATCACATAACGATAGATACGGTATGAGATCACTGCTGATTGACAGACATTCATTCTTGAGATTCATTTCGGTTTTATTGCACATATCCACGCTGCTTCAAGTACTTTTCTAGCGCATATCTCAGTCTCATACGATAAAATAGTGCATTTAATTTTAAAATCATTCCCACCATGTTCCTCAGCTTTATGTCGTCCCAACGGTGTTGTAAGTAATCCTCGCCTTTTCCCAGTCAGATGTTCCTTCAGCCTTATACCTAGCATTCTACCCGTCTCTCCTATATAGCAATCTTGAAGTACTCTGCGTTGATACCACTGCT